TCGTAACATTGTTCGGTTTCATACTAGTGTAAACTATATGAAACTCCGAAAGATGTTTGTTCGGGTCCTCGCCTCGTAGACCATTGAATGAAGAAAGTAGATGGATGAGCCTGGATTTTAACTCAAATGTAGCACCCACATCAAGAGTTGGGAAGGTGATACATAAGGGTTGTTGGTCTAGATTAGGAGCCGTGACCTCCCTCAACGTTCTTGTTTCAAGAGCCATAGTTATTGGCTCTTCGGGCTCGCTAGAATGAGAACTAGCACTGGATGAATCTCTGGTAGATGATTCCTCCGAGTCGGTATTTGAAAATTTACTTTTCAACCACTCGAAAGTTTGCTCTATTTCCGGGGTTGTTTGATAGGTGATTTCTTTTATTAAACGGTGTTTAACCATATACTTCACAAAGCTCAGAAATAGAAAAATAAGAATTCTTTATATTTTGTTTATTTTTATTTTTTTGATTTTTCTTGAAAGAAATAAAAAGAAAAATAATTGCCTCTCCCCAGCAACGACGCCAAATTTGACGAGCACTTTGTCGTAGTGCGTCAAAATAAATTCGATACTAACACTTATACGTAGTATAGCGTAGTAGAGTTCGTATCCACAGGGATATGAATAATTCTCTTTTTATGAACTAGTAATTGAAGGGGGATTTTGGGGTTGAATGATTTAATTTAATTAAACACTAAGATGAACAACTTATATGTGATTTAATTCAAAGATAAAAATAACTTTGCTTTGCTACTTTCCATTTGTTGATATATTTAGTCGATCCTTGTTATATCTATAACTTATCCTCTCTCAAATACTCAATTGAGGAGTATCTTCAATTCATCGAGAGTAGTTATTAACAACGACCGCTCATTAGTAACTCTTACTATAAATCAAATATAGAACAACGCCTTATACCGATTTAATAGTAGCATTTAATCTTTCTAACTCCTTGATGAAATCAATTGAGATTGATAATCACAACACAACGGTTTCGGTTTAACCAACAAAATTAATCCCTCTTAAGTTTATTAACCACGACCGTGCATTAATAAACCGAAGTTACTTACTTGTGAAACCATCAACAATTAACTATCGGTTCATTGATCGTTTATAGTATTAATCAATATTGAGATGTTGACTACTTATCATCTTAGCAACACTCCTCAACATTATTAATAAAGAGATAGATTAAGGGAATAATAAATATTCAAGGAGAGAATTTAAGAGAATAAGAGTAAGTTTACATTTGGGCAGATCTTTGAAAAGAAAGTTGTTTTTGTGAAGAGATGAAGGAATCAATTTTTGCATTACTTTCCGAAATGAGAAATTGCCTAGCTTTTATTTCTTGTGTGGAATCATTAGGCATGCTGAGAAATATTTTCCTGACAATTCTGAGGGATGTGTGAAGATTGGGGGAAATCCTCTTGGACCATGGCTTAGGTCTACAAAAGGGAGAGCATATGTGGGAAAAAATAAGTGGCTAGTTCTAGTCGGTAAACGACGAAACAAGGATAATGAAATGATAACAATTACATCCATTCCTAAAGGTCAAGTTGGCTCGGTTGAGGGAAAGGAAATTAACTCATTAAAGTGGGGGAGCTTCATCAGTTTAATTTCATTCCGAATTCTAGGTGTAGGATTGTTTTTAGGTTTATTTTGGTAGATAGTACTTTGTTGGGAAGCAATCGGGTTATTTTGACCGTTAATAGTTTAGAAGCTCTCACATGTTAAGCGAGTAGTTTCGCTCTGTTTGGGTGGACTACTCTATGTCTTATCTGGGAGTGAGAGAGTCAATTGGTTTTAAGAAATCTAGAGGGGTGGAATTGGATTTTTTATGTTGTTGAGAGGATGAGTTTTTCCAGAATAATATAAGTTTTCTTATGCCAAAAAAAACTTTCTAACCTAATTGAATGGTGTGCCTATTTGCACTACTTGATCATTTCTGTCATTGGCGATTCAATAGAATTTATAGTATCATTTCTAAATAAGTGAAATTTTATTTTTAATAGAGAACGTTTAAATATTATTAATAATGTTCCAAACGCAGAAAATTTTTCCGCACCACAATATATATATACCTCTCTTCTCTTAGCTCCCACATAACCAAATGATTCCCTCAAACACTGTGATAAACATAAAAGAGGTCATCCTAGAAGTCAAAATACTTCCACTCACAACCACAAAATAATCCACAATCTCCTTGCACCTCTTTGAGAGAGGATTAACCACAATTGTTCCAAAGAGAGGATTAACCACAAAATACTTAATCCATCTCCTTCTGCAATTTTGAACCTTAATTTCTTAAGTGTTTTTACCACATCTAGAGCCACCTTAATTCGCATGAAAGAGTTGCATGAAGCTGAAAAAATATGTTCATCCTCTATTATAAGTGTCCTTAACCTATGAATATTTACATTATGTGTGATGTAGTTGAGTAATATTTTTTATCAATATAAAAAACGTTACAAGTTAACTTTAAGTTACAAGTAATAATCACTAAAAACATATCACCATCAGTAGTGAATGAGTAAATGCATTAATAAACTAAACTAAAACAACACAAAAATTAATTTTCTAACAAAAGAAAATCAAAGACTATCCGTTATATTATGATTAATGATTAACGATTAACAAATAAAATTTCATACTTTAATTAGTTTGGTTTATTCAGTTCAGTTTTGAAGGGATTGGCACGGATCTGGCACTACAAAAAAATTACGGAATTAGCACGGACTTGGCACGGATTGACCGATGATTTCGTGCCAAATACCTTGTGCCGAAATATTTTTGTCACGGATTTGACATATTCCTGTCAAATGCTCTATGAATTTTTGACGAAACTCTGCTAAAAATTTATATCAATCCCGTGTTTTTTTGTAGCAGTAAAAAAAGTCGAAACAAACAACTAATGTTCGATTCGATCGATTTTTTAGCAGTTCGATTAATCTGATTGCGGTTCAGTTTATTTTGATTCGATTTCAGATTTACGATTTTTTGGACCCAACTCTAGCATGAATGCACTTATATGGGTATTAAATAAAGATGAACTACCTTTAAAAAAATAAAGATGAACTAAACTCTGAAGTCTTAGCATTCATATATTATTGAGATCCTAGGTCATTATACCTTCGTAGCACGGGCCAGAACACCATTACAATTTGGGAAGTTCATTTGGCTACCGTGGATGCAGGCTATAGTATATAGAGTAGGATCCTTGGGAGAAGGGTGTGGGAGTGGGGGGATGGGCAAGGAGGGGAGTTGATTACATAATACCGAAGACTGCTTGTTACCGGTGGGCGTAGCTCAACTGGTAGCGAGGGAGTGCCACAAGGGTTAGGTCCCGGGTTCGAATCCCGACAACTGCGATGAAATGTTACTATGTTAAAACATGCATAGGCCTCTGCAAGTATCGGGAACAAAGCTTCACTCTCTATCTATCAGATTGTGATTATAGTCCAACTTACATCCTCCCAACATACCGTCCGGTCGGGGTTGAGGGGTCTAAGGATGGGGTGTCATCCTTTTAATGAAGAGTGGTTGTTCAAATTATTTGTGGAGTAGGTTGTGTCATTTGTGTGTGAATCGAATGAGAATTTATTTTGCAAAAATGGTGGGTGATGTAGATAGTTTTAGTTTTACAAATTTGGGCATTACAAACAAAAAGCATTTTTATCAAAGGGAACATGGAAACTAATAATCCAAGCTTTTAGCGGTATTCTTACAATAGTCTCACCTTTTGATTATTCATGAATAATCCAATTTTTGCACCCCATCTTCATGCACTGATTCCTGACCGATTTATGACCTGTTATTCCAAGTTATTTTCTTATATTTGTAAAACATTATATCATAATTCCCATCTTATGATCACATAATGTTTTGCAAAGATAAGAAAATAATTTGGAATAACAGGTCATAAATCGGCCCGGGACCATTGAATGAAGATAAGGTACAAAAGTTGGATTATTCATGAATAATCAAAAGGTGAGACTATTGTAAGAACACCGCTAAAAGATTGAGTTATTAGTTTTCATTTTCCCTTTATCAAATTTGTTTTATAAATTAAAGAAATTAGTAGATTTTAAATATGTTTGTGACAACCATAAATTCTCCATCGTTTCCTGGTGCAAGCAATTAGGGTTGAGAACCTTTCAATCCAAATTGAAAATCGAACTGAATTAGATCGTACTTGAACCGATTACATATCGGTCTGGTGATTTAAAGTCCAAGACTTTTGAAGTGTTTGATTCTGAAATGTTCCAGGCAGTGGCGGAGCTCACTCTGTTCAAAACTATGCATGTGAACACCCAAAAGTTTGGATTAGACGTGTAAAATTGCATATATATAAAATTAATTTAATGATTTATTGTACTTTACTTGTATAATACGGAGTACTTCTTAATTTGTACGTTATTTCCTTGTTTTTTGTTTTTGTTAAGATTTATGTGTAGAATTGTACCATCAAATAATATTATTGCTCATAATTTTAATTGTAAAATAACTTTGAACACCCAAAATTAAGATGTTAGATCCGCCACTGGTTCCAGGCTAAACAATTTGGACCGTAATTAAAAAATATTCATAAGATTCACATATATTGTTATCTAAAGTGTATTTGTATTAGATTCACATATTATTACCCAAGCTACCTTGAGTGGAAATTAGCTTCTTGTTGAGATTTGAGAACATAACAATGTTTCACGACGGTTCTCGTGGGAGCTGCACATGGAATCTGAGGATGCGCGAAGTCAATTTATTAAGATGGATTTTATCAAGGAGCTCAAAATAATAAAGACTAAAGGACTAAACTGCAATATTGGTTTTATACGCCCTTCGTTTTCTTGGTCCAAAAGGTGGAATCTCCCACCCCAGGAGCCCCCCATACCCCGACCCGACAGGATTTTTGGGAGGATGTTAATCACGGTGACTCAGTCGGCCTAATGATGGTAGACCTTTTTCCCGTGCGCACCAGAGGCCCAGCCTTATTTCAGGTTCTGTGACCTCCACACGCCCTTCGTTTTCTGATAACGGTCTCATATTCCTTTTTGGGATGTTTTTAAATATTTGTCTTTCTTTCTTTTTTTTATTAAGTTTTTTTCAATCGAAATACCTTTATATCCCACTTTTATTACTCTTATGTTTTTTACTTTGTACATGCTACTTTCTCATTACTTTACTTTTCTCAATATAATTTTTTTGGGAGGAGGCAGGGTAGTGCCGGGAACACATCCCAATTTTTTTAAAAATATTTAGAAAGTACAAGGGATTTAAGGATACAAGAGATCAAATGAAAAGATACATAAAAAGAAGAGATACACACTAACAATTAAAATCTCTTGTAGGGATTCCAACTGTAGCTCAAATATTTTTGTTGAATTTGTTGTGGAACTTTATTGCATTCTGCAAATATGGTTGGTACGTTTTGGCCCCTGGGCGAGATGATTTATAACGTTTGAGAACCGCAACCAATTAATGTGGTGAGTCAAGCCTCGTGTCGACTAGGTATAAGTAGTAGTCTGTTTCATCTCGGAGTTTATGGGAGTGTCTTCGTGTTACCATGAGATGAGAAGTGTATCCCACCTCATGGTAAAGTTGTTTTACCTCTTGAACTGAGCTCTTTGATTTGTTTTTCTTGTTTCTAACTTGCGTGAATCCTTCAGGGCAATCCACCTCAGCACATTGTTGATCTGGGATATCTGAAAAAGTATGGAAAACGGTGAGTTCCTCAAATAGAGTATCATCATTGGACAAATTTAGTGCCATCCTAGCCAAAATTTTGGGTGGATAAGAAATAATATCATCTCCGTTACTAGTAATCCGTTCCGTAGGGGCACCGTGTGCTTCACTAATAATATATCTTCTCAAAATACTATCTTTCCTACTTTTTCATTTACTCTACTTTTGGTATTTTCTTCTTAAAAAATACAATAAACTTAAGAGGATTATTATTGAAAAACAGGGGGAGTACTCCTTTTATATTTTAGGCTAGATATATATTTTGTGTATTAGGCCTAATATCATCATTCTAGACAATTCTTCAATTGATTACTTCGTTCTCTTTCTCTCTATATCAGACTATATCTTCTTCTTCCACATACGATTTCTATGAAAATCTACAGATTTGTCATGCACAATGGTGTACAAGTGATTCTGAATTATTCCTCTTAGGCTACCCACAACCCACTAAATGCATAGCTAAATATGAGGTTTTCATTCCCTATTTTGTTGCAATCTAATAGCCCATTTTGAAACACTCAAATCGGTTGATTTTGCTGAAATTTATAAAAATTTTGCCGAAATGGCTGTATTGGTTGATTATACTGATTTCGAAAAAATAATATTTAAAATATATTTTATTCATAAAATAAAGAAAAAATTATATGAAAAATAACTAAAATGACAATTCACAGTAACTTCAGTCAATACAGTCAGAAAAATAACTTTAATCCTATTTTTTCTTCTAATTAAACAATTCAACGTGCAAAATTAAAATTTGTGTGCTTGAATAAAAAATTGATTGATAATGCTGATAAGATTGAGAGATGTTGTAGTTGCTAGATGGCATAGTGGGAAATTAGTTGCCTTATTCATCGAGAGAACGAGGGTGGCCAGGAGCCTGCTATGAGCCAGAAATGTGGGGCCAACGAAAATTAAATTGGTGGCTGAATTCGGAAAACTAAGGAATTTAATTAATAAAAATTAATTAAAAAAATCAGCTAAAGAGAAAAAGAAATAGAATTGAACAAAAAATCAAAGCTTGTGCAATGCACAATGTCCTTAAACCGTATTCTTTGCCTCCCACGGTGCTAGGAGCGTTGCAATGATAGTTTCCCAGGATACGATGCTTACGAACAATTGTTTGAGCACTCAACAATTGTTCTGGCAAACGGAAACCAAGCAAGAACACAAAGAATTTTTTCTGAAAACTAGAGGTGTTTTTGAGCTGAAAACTACGTGAGGAACGTGAATAATTCGTGTGTTGTTGCAAATCACCTGCCAGATATATATATATATATATATATATATATATATATATATATATATATATATATATATATATAGGGACAAATTTCTTCAGGATTAAGTGAACTTTAATGGACCTGAATGTTGGACATAAATGACCAGAACGTTGGGCATTAATATGTCAAAAATCTGTCCATTTAAAGACGCATTAAAGGAGAAGAACGTTGGGCAATAACTGTTGTAACATCTTGGATGACTTCTGGGCCAAGCAGTTCTGATGCGGAGCAGAGAACTTCTGTCTGAGCAGTTCTGCTACGAGCAGAGGACTTCTGTCCGAGCATTTAATGCAATTTTAACACATTTTTAACACACTAAAAATATTGCCCAAAATTGATCATCTAATGTAATTTTAACACATTTTTCCAACATAAATTTTTCAAATTTCTTTAATTTGTTATAACCTTTTCATTTATATTCCATTTTTTTAAAAAAATATCAAAATTAAATTTTTTATATGTAAAGTTAAAAAATTATTAAGTTTGAGTTCCTAGGAGAGGGGGTGGACAAGGAGGCAAGGAGCGGAGTTGAATACATAAGAATGATAAGACTTTCCAGAGTGGTTGGGAAAATTATGACTGGAGTGGAAGGGACTAGGAATAGAGGAAGATTTTTTCAATTACTTTGGGTAATGGAGTGGGTGAATTGAATGAGAATTTATTTTGCAAAAACGGTGGGTGATGGAGATAGTATTAGTTTTACAAAATTGGGCATTACAAACAAAAAGCATTTTTATCACATTTTATTATAAATAAATGAAATTAGTAGATTTTAAATATGTGGGTAACATGGAAGCGTATATCATACAGCCGGTTGTACGACTGACACCGTACAATCAGTGGTAGTTTTGTAATTTTGATGAAAATCATGATTTCTCTTAAATATGCATTGATGCAATTTGCATGGGCATCGAGTCTGTTCTTTTGAGTATTAGGAGCCTAACAATGAGCAACATTGATCTCTGCTTCATATCTTCTAATCCAGTTTCTTTTTATTATTTTTTCATTTATAAAAAATTATTAAATGATGTTTATAATCAATTTCAATATGTGAATCTAACTTAGTATGTTATGTTTGATATGTGCAACATTTTAAAATTAGCATAAAGCAATATCAAATGAGGATACATAATTTACAAAATAAGTATCAAAAAATTCAAAAGCTCATTTGTGTATGCTCATTGATTTTGGGCGTTATACTCATTTGGGTTTAAAATAAAACTCATTTTTAATGTGCTTAATATTCAGTTGTGTATGTTCATTTCTTTTATGCGTATACTCATTTGAATTTAATATAAAACTCATTTTTAATGTGCTTAATATTCAATTGTGTATGTTCATTTCTTTTAAGAGTATACTAATTTGAGTTTAATACAAAACTCATTTGAGATCAATAGCGATAAGGATTCCTTTGTCTGGGCTCTCTTTATCTTCCAAAATCACAATCTCAAACGGCAAAACTGAATAAGAAAAAGAGAAAAATGAAAAGAGTGAAAAGAAAGACAGAGGGAGGAGAAGTAACTACGCGATGGATCTGCTTCGTCCGTGCTAGAGGAGAAGGGAATGAGCGGTGAGAGGCGGAGACGAGCAACAAGCTGGAAGAGAAAGAGACGAGTAGTGAGCGTTGGCGACAGTCAACCAGGTGCGAAGCCAGATCGGAGAAGCTGGTGCGAAGCTTGGTACAAAGTTGGATCGTTCTTCTAGTGCGAAGCGAAGAAGCGGGAAGCCCAAAAAAGGTCAGCTGTATCGTGCGCATGGTACAGCCGAGTGTATGGTTTATTTTACCGGGTAACACCCATAAGTTCTCCATCGTTTCCTGGTGTAAGCAATTAGGTTGAGAACTTTGCCCGTACTTGAAGCAATTACGTATCGCCATATCGGCCTTGTGATTTTCAATCTAAGACTTGTGAAGTGTTCGATTGTGGTATGATCTGAACCCGAAATGTTTTGGCTCAACAATTTGGATCGTGATTAAAAAATAATCATTAGATTTTCATATATTATTATCTAAAGTGTATTCATATCAGATTCACATAATTACAGAAGCTACCTTGAGTGGTGGTGCAATGAATGTCTTATCTCAAGCAACACCGTGGGAATTAACTTCTTGCTGAGAACTTAACAGTGTTTGATGACGGTTCTCCTGTGAGCTGCACCGGGAATCTGAGAATGCACGAATCTTTTTTGTTAACAAAGATTCGCTAGGTGCTGATGGGTCATTCTTGGAGGAGAACTTACATAAAGATTAGCCTCTAACTCAAATTGTGTTTCTTGACTCGTTACGTTGACTGCTTGTCCTTGTCTCTTCTTCTTTTGTATTCGAATTTATAACCTCTGTCGTGTGTATTTGAGTTGGAGAAGTAGGATTGCTTTCTACATGTCTGGATATATGTGTGAAATTTGTTACATTTGGCACTACTCCTTTATGATGCGCAGAAAGGAAGACCATTCCACTAGTTCCCGGCCCGCATTCTGAAGAGAGGAATGCTAAGATCCTTTCCTTTCCTGTTGAGGACCGAGTTTACGTGAATCTGGTGTCCGATTCTCAAGGTACGCCGCCTCTCCCTGTTGAGTATGAATACTTGGGATTAAGGCGGTCTCGTAGGCACACTCCTACTGCACATGATTTGAATCAGAATTCGCATGTCATTTTCGTAGAAGATTCAGGGCAAGGATCTGAGGCTTCAAAGGATGATGGTGAGGGCACGAGTGCCTTTGTTCCTTTACAAGTTGTTTTCCCAGTCGTCACGAATAATCCCATGCTTCCAATCAAAAATGCCACACCCACTGCAGGTATTTTTTATTACATTTGAAGCTTACATCTGTTTTTCTTTACTAGTGACAGGCTGAATATGCTTTGTTGTTTTTAGCTACTTCGTCAAGTACTTCCCGCTTTGTTCCTTCTGATCACGAACTGTTGGCAATGGATTCGAGGAGGAAAAGGATACCTTCTAAACTGCCTGTCACTCCACTAAAGGTGCCTAAGTATCCAGTGCCTAACGCTGCCAATACTTCAAGTATTCCTACCGTGGAACACAGGATTGATGCTGGGGCACCGTCACATGCTATGCATTTATCGTTTTCTCCGGAGTTCTGCAGTTTGAAGGATGCGTTTGTTATGAAGAATGAGATGGCCCAGCTCCAGTTGGCTTCCTCTGCTCATGCTTTTGACTACATGCCCCCTACTAGCGTCATTGCAGTAGCATCTGCCTATGCATTTCAGGTATTGACGAGTTATCTTGCTTAGTGAGCTTTCTTTCCTTTGTTCTTGGCTGAATTGTCTTGTGCCCTATCTTCAGAGTATTCAGGCGAGCCTTGTGGCTGCAGCGCGCGTCGCTTCGCTAGAGAAGACCTTTGACGAGCTAAAGAAAAGGGAGGCTTCATTGGTATCCAGACTTGACGAGGATGCAAAGCTGGTTCAAGAGCTGGAAGCCAATAGCTCTACTTTGTCTGCTCAGATTTTGCAGCTTGAAGCCAGGGTCAAATCCTTGGATGCTTATGGGCGCAAAAAGAAACAGGAGGTGATTAATGCGGCTTGCTACTACGCTTGGAAGACTAGGGGGAGCTGATGGCATCTTTTATTGAAGGGGAAATGTCCGACTGGACAGCTGAACAGGATGTGGCTACCTAGCTGCGGCTCAAAGAAGAGATGGATCCGCCAATTGGTGAGGATGGCTTTGACGTGGGTCGTTCTGATGACGAAGCTGAATCATAATGCTCTCGAGATCCCTGAATGTACTCTTTACTCAAATTTGTTGTGAACGCTTAGGCCTTTTTGTACTTATTCATACTCTGCTCACTTTATGTTACGGTATCCTGGTGGTTTATCCGGGACGTAACGTTCTATTGCTGAATTCGGGTTTTGGGCTTGGCGGTTGATCCAAGTTCCGCCCCAAATGCTTTTTGAAATTTTTTTTTGCTATGTTTGCTATCGTATGTGTCAGTTTCCTGCTCACGTATGCTCTGTTATTTAAGCATGCATGTTCTTTCATATATATATGTGTGTATGTTCCGTCACATGTGTGTATGTTCTGTCACATATGTGTGTGTGTGTCGCAAATGTATGGGTGTTTGTCATATATGTGTATGTTTTGGCCAAAACGTGTTAAGGTTCTATGGACCTCCATTCATGATTTCTTCATGATGAGTCCCATGTCTCCTAAGTGCTGACGTACTCTTATAATTATGTTTAGATGCTTTATTGTTCTGGCGTTGCTTTAACTAGCGTTCAATTTTTGATCCGTCACAGTCCTGCAATGATACGTCATCGTTGAAGTCGGTCGTTGGCTTAAGGCCAACGGTCCTCCGACGGTCAAGTTAGTAAGTGGTGAATTGTATTTGATATATCGAAGATGATATGAAACGTAACTAATTACCTGTGACTTTGTCAATTCCGTGTGCCTTCCTGCATCAAAGTCATTAATAGGGCTGGTCGTTGGCCTTAAGCCAACGACCCTCCGAAGGTTAAGTTAGTAACGTCGTTTTTTGATAAAAATAATATGCGAAAATTAAAATGAATTAAAAATGGAAAAACTTTAAGTGTACCGCATTCCAACTACGTGGGACTTGTTTACCATCAATTGATTCCAGGCGGTATGCCCCCTGCCCTACAACATCGGTGATCTTGTAGGGTCCTTCCCAATTAGGGCCAAACTTGTCGGCTGCTTCGTTGTCAAATGCTCTCCTTAGGACACATTCTCCCTTCTTGAATACCTTGGCTCAGACATTTTTGTTATAGCTTTTTGCCACTATCTGCTGATACGTCTTTAAGCGAAGCTTAGCCTGTTCACGGATCTCGTCAATGGTATCCAGGTCATGCGTCAACTCCACGTTGTTCATTTCTTCGGTCATGAGCCCATATCTTGAAGAAGTTATTTCAATTTTAGCAGGTATTACCGCTTCGCAGCAATACACTAGAGAGAATGGAGTCTGTCCGGTTGTATTTTTTGGAGTTGTCCGATCTGCCCATAATATTAATGGCAACTCGTCAGCCCATCAGCCTTGTGCTTTTTCGAGCCTCTTCTTTAGGTTGGCCACAATGATTTTGTTGCTGGATTCAGCCTGACCATTTGATTGTGGATATCTGGGGGTTGACGTCTCCAACTTTATATTGTACCTTTCACAGAATCGTCTGGTCTTTGCACTTATGAACTGAGATCCGTTATCGCAAACGATCTCTGACGGAATACCGAACCTGCAAAGTATGTTTCTTTTGATAAATGAAATTACCTGGTCATCTCGTACCTGACGGAATGGCTCAGCTTCTACCCATTTTGAGAAGTAATCCGTCATTGCCAACATGTATACTTTTGTCCTGATGCCTCTGGCAATTTCCCGACAATATCCATCCCCCACTTCATAAAGGGCCAAGGTGATAGAACTGGATGAAGTGACTCGGAGGGCTGATGACAGATTGGTCCGTATATCTGAAAAGGCTTGCATCTTTGAGTAAAGGTGGTTGCATCTTCTCTCATGGTCAGCCAGTAATACCCAAATTTGAGAGTTTTGTTAGATAAACTTCGTCCGGCCGTGTTGTAACACCGTCCCCAAGTATACTTACTTTTAGTAAATCATGTAATAAACCTTGAAGAACGATTTATGAATTTACGAGGTTGTAAAGTTTTATTAATTCTTTTGCGTGAATAGTAAATTGCACGTGGGGCCCACATCGGGAGCGGGGACCACCCGATAGTTCCGGGACCACATATTATATTCATCTTGGTCTAGATAATATGTATATGGTGGTAGATATTTTAGTTGGGCCATAGAAAGGGCATAGGATTGACCCGTCGGTCAAATGAGGCCCAATTACCGGTATTGGTAATTTATCAGATAACAGCCCGAAACGGATTTCAGAGACTTCTAAATTTAAGATGAGGAATATTTATTCATTCTTAAAGTCCATAATGATGGGAAACACTTAATATATTTTATTTGACCCGATAAAATAAAATATAATTAAAACATTTCGAAAAATACAACTTTCGGGGTCGATTGTACAAATCGGGACACAAAAGGATGACCTCCCACATGAGTGAGGGTCACCTCACTTTTTTGTGTGATCAATGAGACATACGGGGGGGGGGGGGGGGGGGGGCTGGAATGACAAACGAAGGAGTGGAGGAGAGTCATTTGGAATCTAAAGTACCAAAGAGGACCCCTCACCCCCATTTATTGGTCATTTGAGACAAATGTACACATCCTCTCTCCCCCAATCATCTAGCTCGCCCAACCATATCATTTTGAGAGGAGAAACTCTCAAAATACTCATCCTCCATATCTGAACTCGAGCTCAAGGAAGAAGGTCCAAAGAGGAGTGATTAAAAGAAGGAAAAAGTTAAGGAAAGTGTGAAGGATTAAGGTAATAACCTTATAAAAACTTTTCTCCTACTTTTTATCTATCATGTGACTTATATAGCATATGAGGAACCCCTAGGCTTGTTCTACATGTTTAGAAATGTAGAATGAGGGGTTAGAAGGTAGTTCTAAGTCTAAGAATGGACTTAGAAACCAAAACGACCGGTTCACCGGAAAATAACCTTTTAGAGGTTATTTGTATTGATATGAGTTTTGTGATGATAAAACCATGTTAGGAGCATAACTAAAGTGTTTATAGAGTTCTCCGGAATTTCGCCGGAGTTCGCCGGAGTTTCGCCGGAGTTCAACCGAGGAGCGTAGAACACGCTAAAAGCTCATTTAAGGTGAGTGGACGGCTTAATATCTTATAACTTTTGGGTTAATTATGAGATTACCTAAATAAATGTTATATGTATTCATAAAGATGTTTAAAAGATATTTAAACATGTGATTAGCCAAAATGATTAGGCATGTATGAAATGAAGTACATGAATATGCATGGAATATGATATGAGAATTTCTATGAAATTGCATGCTATGTTTGAAAGGTAAAGGAAGCATAGAATGAATATTGTTAACTTAATATATATGATGATTAAGTTGATATGTATAAGGCTTGAAGTGACGGTTAACGAAAACGTTGAGTGATTGATGATGGATTAATTAATACCGGTTGGTATTAGTTAATTATAAATTGATATAAATGCATGGCTTGCATGAATTGAAATACATAAGCTTTATGAAGTTATTTAGCTATGAATATGATATAGACTCTATCTAGGTTGATAGGAGGTTGAGCATATAAAATATAAACTTGGTGGAGGACCCTAGGACTAAAAGTCCTTAACACTCAAATATAAACTTGGTGGAGGACCCTAGGACTAAAAGTCCTTAACACTCAAATATAAACTCGGTGGAGGACCCTAGGACTAAAAGTTCTTAACACTCAAATATAAACTTGGTGGAGGACCCTAGGACTAAAAGTCCTTAACACTCAAATATAAACTTGGTGGAGGACCCTAGGACTAAAAGTCCTTAACACTCAAATATAAACTTGGTGGAAGACCCTAGGACTAAAAGTCCTTAACACTCAAATATAAACTTGGTGGAGGACCCTAGAACTAAAAGTCCTTAACACTCAAATATAAACTTGGTGGAGGACCCTAGGACTAAAAGTCCTTAACACTCAAATATAAACTTGGTGGAGGACCCTAGGACTAAAAGTCCTTAACACTCAAATATAAACTTGGTGGAGGACCTTAGGACCTAAAAGTCCTTAACACTCACATTATAAACTTGGTGGAGGACCCTAGGACTAAAAGTCCTTAACACTCATATTATAACTTGGTGGAGGACCCTAGGACTAAAAGTCCTTAACACTCAATAATAAATTGGTGGAGTACCCAAGGATTATGTTATCCTCAAAACTCATAGATTATGAAATTGAAATAAAGATAAGGAGGAGTCCTATACACTCATAAGTATATGGGTGGGCTGGAGTTTTTAGTCAAGAATATTGGCTATTACTATTTTCCCCAAATAAAACGGTGATCTACGAATCGGGTATTTTCCAAGTGTATATATACTATTAAGTATTTCTTGACTCTGGGGAAAGGACTATTTATATAAGTATCACCCTATGTTTGGGTCTTATACTTAAAACTCTAGTTATTCTATGTTTAGCATGCTACTCGCTCGGTACTTGTACTGAACCCTTTGGGGCCCTGATAAGTTCATATTTCAACACGCATTTGATGCGTGTTAGGATTGGATTTTAATGATTTTTCTTGCTTTAAGGCGTTGCAAATCTCATTTTTAGCACAAGTTGTGATTACCAGGCGTTGGGTCGAGTTATGTTGCATTTGGAGTTAAATTGAAGAAGTTAGAGTCCGGCAATCGGCGCTTGAGAGGCAATCGGGAGGAGCTAGAGAGAATTCAAGAGAGATTTGAGAGATTTGGAGGTCACCGGGTGATTCACGGCAAAATTGTGATGAAGAAAGAGCATTTGGATCAACCTCGTTTGCATCCGGGAGCGTTTGGAGCAAAGAAAACTAGAGAAAAGGATGAAGAACACGGATGCACGATCGTGCGTAGGAGCCAACAACACGATAACATTCTGCCTGTTACGCACGATCGTGCGTAGCCAGGGACGCACGATCGTGCGTAGCCCCGAGTTATGCGCATAAATATCCCACATCGACCAGAATTGCGATTTCCCCCCTCTTTTCTATAAATAAGGCCTCTCTAACCCTTTTTAGGGGTGGCGAACTTTACGGAGAGGATTAGGGACGAATTTATTCATTGTTTTCCGCTATTTTACTCCAAGATCCTGGGATTATTTGTAAGTTCATCTTTTTAATTAATGATAATTATTTCTATTGATTTTTCAATTATGAGTCGGTAGTAGTTTTAATTAGGGATTTGGAATTGATGAAGGGGTTTATTACGATGTATGGCTAGATTCTTGATGGTTTAATTGCATGAATGTCGTTTAATTTGTGTTTGAAT